AAGGGAGTTTCCCTAGGGGTGTGGCCTGCTTCTAGTATATCTATGGATGTCCTGGGAAAAGAGACAGTCTTCTGTGGATCGGGATTCTGTTGTGCTGCCTACAACTGTCCGTGAGCAAACAATCCACCATTCGGCCTGGAGATCTTGGGTTCGTCATTCGTTGGAGTCAACAGCCAGTGTACTGCCTGCCAATCTCGAGCTCGTCAGCCCCTGCAGCTGCGTGAGTTGGGAAAAGCCTCCAGCTTGACGTTTGATCCAAGAACTTGGGACTTGCCAGCTTCTGTAAGTGTGTGAGCCATTTTCGTAAGATGAATTTCTCTACGTATATATAAGCTTTACTGGTTTTGCTTCTCGGGAGAACCCAGCCCAACACACCAAACATGACACACTTCTCCAAGGACTGGTCCAAAGTACTGGTCTCGTGTACCGTCCAGAGTGCGTGAGATCAACTGTCACCGTGTTGGCTTCTCAGGAGCTTCCTGGCTGTGCTGCCTCCTAAGCAGGTGTGTTTATTCCGGCGGCGACACTGCCTTGGACACCCAAGGGGGGGTCGCTGTGGCTCAGCTCTGACTCGACGGCGGTGGCTTGCTTGGTTGGTTGGCAGTCTGTGGAATACCCACTACACTCATCCTCAACATCGAATCCAAGTGGATTGCTTCCTCTGTGATGTTCCTCATTCACGGTCCAGTTTTTTTGTGCACAGGAGGTGACTGAAAATACCACGGCTTAGGTCAAGTGCACCTTAGTCCTCAAAGTGACATCTTAGCTTTTTAACACACAGTGCAGTGAATGACTTGGTATGGCTTTTCTAGCACAGTCTTTGTAACTCCCACTGGATTACTGGGTGGGACGATGCAAATGAGGTGTGTAGAACTCTGGTGTTGGGATTGGTTAGTTCTGTCACTCTGCCGGCTTTCAATGAGCCTCCTAGAGGCAGAGGGGGTCACTGCCATCAAGAGAGCAGCGCTGGAGGTGAAGTGGAGCGTGTCCTTGGACCCCAGATCCCTGCTCTGGACCTCCCTGGCTGAGAGGTGCCCGGGCAGAGAGACACCTGGCAGAGAGA